GTCTCCCCTGCCCGCCTCTCCGGCAGGCTCCGAGATGATCGAGACCCAGGAGGACATTTACGTGGGCTCTATCGAGACGGACCGGGGGGTGCGCGAGCAGGTGCGCTTCTACGACACACGGGGCCTGCGGGACGGCCTGGAGCTCCCCAAGCACTGCTTCTCCTGCACGGACGGCTACGTGCTGGTCTATAGTACTGACAGCAAGGAGTCCTTCAAGCGAGTGGAGCTCCTCAAGAAGGAGATTGACAAGTCCAAAGACAAGAAAGAGGTGGGTACCCCAGGGGAAAGGGGCTGCAGAGCGGGATCTACTCCTGTTCTTTAAGCGTGCACCCAGAGACTCTCCTTTCCCCTTGTCACAAGACTGTGACAGGGGTCCCGGTTCCATAAGACTCTCAGCTGTAACCGGCTGCTGTCCTGGGACGCTTTCTGAGCGTGCGGGTGCTCAACAGGCCCTTCAGCTTTGGGGCTGGTTTGAGACACGCAGACCCGGACAGGAGAGGAAGCTGCCAGAGGGGAGCGCTGGGAAATGTGGTGTTTTAAAAAGCCTCAGCACGGAGCAGGAATTAGCTGCTGGGCCTGGCACTGAGGGTCTTCAAGGGATTCTTCTCGCCCTCGTTTGAACAGGTCACCATCGTGGTGTTGGGCAACAAGTGTGACCTGCAGGAGCAGCGCCGGGTGGACCATGACGCAGCCCAGCACTGGGCCAAGGGCGAGAAGGTGAAGCTGTGGGAGGTGTCCGTGGCTGACCGGCGTACGCTGATTGAGCCCTTCATCTACCTGGCCAGCAAGATGACGCAGCCACAAAGCAAGTCCGCTTTTCCCCTGAGTCGCAAGAACAAGGGCAGCGGATCGATGGACGGCTGAGCATTGTTTTCCCTTCCCTTCCATTGCCACCTCCTCTCTCTCACCTCCCTATTTCCCTTGCACATAACCTCCTGCTGAGCCTGTTTGGTGTCACAAAGCCTGCAGGAAGCACGGTGGCACGAGGAACGGGTGTCCCAGGGCTGGGGAATGGTCTTTGTGGACGAGAGAGAGGCGACCCATCTCCCCGCAGCGGGACAGGGACCGCTGTTTTCGCTGCCCAGCCCCTGCGGATGTTGGAGGTGCTACAGGAACGCCGGGATTCACCAAGTGCCGCCCCTCGGCTCTCGGGGGGCCGGCTGGCAGAGCCGTACGCTGCGGGAGGGGAGGCACAGCAGTGCTGGCCAGCAGGTGGGGATCAGCTCCACGGCTCAGCGCAGCCGGGCCAGAGGAAACGATTCCTTCTCGTTTTTATATTTACTGGTACCATGTGAGAAGAGCCCGTTGGCTGCCTCCAGCCCAGCCGCTGCCAGAGCGGCTCTGCCTCGTCCTGGCCCGGCTGGCTCTGCGCTGCTGCAGTGCTCCCCGGCAGCTTGCCCCTCCCCTGGCGCTGCTCCCCGCTCCTTTACGTGCAGGAGCACTCGGTCATCTCCTCCCAGGGACTGCGTAATGCAGAGCAGGGCAAGGGGCTGTGGCTGAGGGCAGGGTGCCCACACCCACCGCGCCGCAGGCCTCCTCCTCCTGAGCGCAGACTCGGCCATGACCTTGGAGGAGC